TGCGTGCGTGCGTGCGTGCGTGCGTGCGTGCGTGCGTGCGTGCGTGCGTGCATGTGTGAGAGAGAGAGAGGGGGTATTCGTCGCAGAAGATCGATGGTGCGCTCACGCTGCCATACAAATCATGGCGTCTCCATGAATCCAGAAATTGCAAGAGGAAAGAGCATAACGTCATTGATATTATTCATCGTACATGTACACACTACATATCCGGGCAAGTTTTGTCCCATGAGCCGATGATCCTAGTATTATAGCTATGACTAAAGTAACTCCATTCGTCTCCGAATCTCGGTGAGCGATAGAACATCTTGGATGTGCTATCGCTCCGGCGGCTTACTTTGAACTTGCCCGGATCACATCTGGTATTGCCGAAATCTTGCATCTTACGAAAATGTTACCAATGTCCGCATAACCGACGCTCTTTCATGCGGCAATGGCGTATGTCGTAGAGGCAATGACTGTCTTGTTTGATCGATTCCTGGTGACGTTGACACGAGTGTAATTCCACCGTCACGTCTCACGTGACTGTATACTGTCTAGAATGGTTAGACCTGAGAACGTTACGCATGTATATCGCGATGTCCTAACAATCTGAATTCCTACGAAAAAATACGGTCGTTGTTACCAATGCCAAACCAATTATATGCGAAAAAACAACGCACTTGACCGTAACCGTGACCGCGACCGCGACCTAAGTCATTCACCCCGACTCTACCCACTATTGTGCGCATCGTTACGTCAATATTCGCGAACTTATAGATTTCACTTAAGATACGTCTTATTGAGCTTGTCGTACAGTTTGACGTTGTTAATCGGTATAAGCATGGGGTGGCATGATTGCGTGAGAGAAAAAAAAGAAGATGGCCGCCGGCGCTTGCCGCTGGAACGCTTCGGGAGAGTTTTGAGAACGAATTAAAACAACAGCATTCTCAGGGCCTGCTATGTGTTGTTTTCGCTTTCTCACGACCTCGTCTTCTTGCCGCGTTTGTTCTTGCTGGTGGGCTAACAAGGGACTTAACGACGAGCGGTACCCCCTTTTCTTTCTCTCCCTCTCTCCCTTTTTCTCTCTCGCTCTCTCTCTCTCTCTCTCTCTCTCTCTCTCGCCCTCTCCCTCTCCCCTTCTCTCTCTTTCTCTCTCTGTTCCTCCCCTCTCTTTCTCTTTCTCTCCCTCTCCTTCCCCCTCTCTCTCTCCCTCTATCTCTATCACTCCCCCTCTCTCCTTCTTTCGTACACAGCTAATCATTGCACAGTTTCACAGCGTTAACTCCTACATATTGCGGGTTCGTTAACTATACTGAAACGAGTGATCGTATCGTAATGACGTTTAAAGTTACGTACAATATTTATGTGGAGAGATTTTACCAGCTAAGATATAACTGAATTACCGATGTATCGTCAGGAATGGATTAGACACCGAGCAATCACCGTCCGTGTTAATAACAATCGAAGAAAATAACACATTCGCATTCAATAAATTTAAAGAATCTGAATACGATATTCTTTACGTCATAAACGGATGCCATTGCGCATGCGTGCTCATTGTATATGTATGCACATATGCACATATGTCTTACACAGCTGAGCACTGTACAGTTTCACAATAGATAATTCTCTCTTCCTCCCTCCCTCTTTCTCCTCCCCCCCTCTCTCTCCCCATCTCCTTCTTTCTCTTTCTCTCTCTACCCCTCTTTCTCTTTCTCGCTCGCCCCCTTCTTCTTTCTTTCTTTCTTTCTTTCACAGCAAAGCACTGCACAGTTTCACAGTGTTAATTCCTATATATCTCCCGTTCTTTCTCAAACAGCAAAGCATTGCACAGTCTCGCCGTGGTCGGAGTGGGAGGAGTGCAGCACGCGCTGTGGCATCGGCATGATGAAGAGACTTCGTAACGTGACGGCAGAGCCATCTAACGGCGGCGACAAGTGTCCGCACCTGAAGGAGATGAGGGGCTGCATGGGATTCGACTGCACGCACGATGAGCGGGCCGCTATTAAAGGTACGCCTGCTGCTCTCTCGCACCTGTGATAGAACCTGAACTCGCTGCCCTCTCGCACCTGTGATAGAACATGATCACTCCGCCGTAGTCCTGTCGCACAAACTCTAGGCTCTCCCCTGGTTCTAGCTGTGCGGCCTCTAGCTGGAGTTCTGTTGCTACACGGGTAGATCCGAGCTACCGCGCCACCACATTAGCTAGACCCTTGAACCTCAGTGACGTTATATATATATATATATATGTGTGTGTGTGTGTGTGCGTGCGTGCGTGCGTGCGGGCGTGCGTGCGTGCGTGCGTGCGTGTGTGCGTGCGTGCGTGCGTGCGTGCGTGCGTGCGTGCGTGTGTGTGTATAAGATGCTGCTTCATAACTCGCATAACCCGGGTAGGGAATCACTTATTATGACCGTAATACTCAGACTATATCAGGTTGTATGACAAACACTAATTTGCTATCTCGGCGTTATCGTATGTTGTTCCCGTTCCTATTCAGAGATGGCGCTGCTTCTACCGGCAAAGTACGCAAAGGCAAGACGCTATAATCCTGAGAAGGACATCAGAAGAAATCTGAGGGATCACTACCACAAGAAAAATCCCATTGAGAGGAAAAAGTGAGCAAGGAAACTAAAAACTAAAAAAATTAACTAAAAGGCTTCTAACTACGTCGTATAAACGCGGGAGGGATCCCGTGTTTACACGACGTAATCAGAAGACTCGTATATAGAAATATCTGGTAAGACACTGCACACGATAGATATAGAGCAGGGTGGTAAGGAAGTATGCAGTTGGAAGGTGACAAAAAGAGAGAGGAGTGAAGGGAGAAAGAGGAAAACGAAAAGGGAAGAAAATGAAAAGCGAAGGAAGGGAAAGAGCGTGTGCAAGAGAGAGAGAGAGAGAGAGAGAGAGAGAGAGAGAGCGTGTGTGCGAGAGAGAGAGAGAGAGAGAGAGAGAGAGAGAGAGAGAGAGAGAGAGAGCGTGTGTGCAAGAGAGAGAGAGAGAGAGAGAGAGAGAGAGAGCGAGAGAGAAAGAGAGAGAAAGAGACAGACAACAATCAGCCAAACAAACATGACAAAATAGAGAGGAGAGAAAGTTTGGGGTGGTGAGAAAAGGAAGCGAGTTGGCAGCGAAGGAAGGAGAAAAGAGCAAGGGTGAAAAAACGCGAGAGATGGAGCGAGGCAGGTGGGAATAGGTGGCGTATCAAACGCCCCGACCGTCTCTCTTCCACCCCGCAAATCCATTAAAGTAAATAGGAGACAGTGAATTATTGAAAACCGCTGAACTTTTGGCAAGGTATATAAGACACAGTAGACATATTTATGGGATGCGTTGGCTTTTACTCTAATCGACGTGTTATATATGTTCCTAGTTACATTCCGAGCAATTAGTTGTGCGTGAGTGCTTCCAATGGCCAGTATTAAATTCCACGCGCGTTTTCTCTTGCACGCCTTACGAGATATTTACGTAACGACAAACTATCTCCCCCAACTATAGTACTGTATATATACATACGTCTAGAGATACGTATGTGTTAGTAAACATCCCACAGAGCTTATGTAACTAGTTATCTCTTTTCGTCCTCAAATAGAACGATCGGTAGTGTAACGTCAGCATCAATTACGGGAAATAAAATACGTCCCGACTGCTATGCGCTGCTATATATATAAGCCGACGTGACAACACTAATGATGGAACGATATTACACGAACGCCATTGCCATCAGTACAGCTGAAGGGGTCGTTGTCGTATCAGGTACTACAGATATGTACCCGAGGTACATATATGTATACACAAAGTGTACCAGACTTGTACTACAGAAGTGTACCCTAACCCTAACCCTAACCCTAAACATACCTCATATAAAAATATAAACATAATACCAAGAGCTAATAATACCTAAGATAAGCTAATATAAATAATAATAATACTAGCTAAATAATAATACTAGCTAAATAATAATACTAAGCTAATAATACCTAATATAAGCTAATACCAAGAGCTAATAATAAAACTAACTCGGGTACATATCTGTAGTACCTGATACGACAACGACCCCATCTGCCTTACAGCACCTTACAATTCACAAACTGATCGAGTTTGTCGTACACATGTTTACTATTCCTAAAAACAGTGTGAAGATTATATACGGAAAGGAAAAAGCTGTCCGATTCGAATCGTTGCAGATGTTCTGCCAAAATACCAATTAAAGGTCAATGTGTTACGTCATATGCTGCGATACTCAATATACATACTACACCGGAAAGCGCAATTTTATACATTTTTGGTTTAATGAATTTATTCCTAAACAAATCATTATAAATTATTCAGAAATATTATCATAAATTTTACTTTTTCAACAAATTTACAATTTGCTGTTCATGCATAGGATCAAGAGTACATAATAGGAGGTGTACTCTTGATATGATCTAGAGCTAATAATACATAATATATTATTTGGTTTTTATATACAGATAATATATAGGTTTATACAGTAATATTTCAGGTTAATTATACGTATTATTAGCATAACGTCATTATATTAATTATTATTTGCATATTATGAACATGCATCGATAAACTTATTTTGCCGCAGGTACTGTCTGACGTTTGAGATCGTTAGAACGCACAAGTATTGCAACTCTACGGTGAATACGTGGACGCACGACCTCGCTGTGGCGGGTAACAAGGTGTGTGTGGAGTGTGAGCCATACGCCATGACCTCCATGAAGGGCGCAAGGTGAGCAAACTCCATCGTCATCGTCACCGTCATCGTCACCGTCATCGTCATTGTAGTGAGATGGGTTAACTCGTAACCGCGCACATACACGCGCACGCACATACACGCGCACGCACATATACGCGCACGCACATACACGCGCACGCACATACACGCGCACGCACATATACGCGCACGCACATACACGGGCAAGCGCTTATGCACGCATGCACATAGACGCAATCACGCGCGCAGACGCAAAAACGTAGACACGCACGCGCACACACGCCCGTACGCTCGTACGCACGCACACACACGTACGGTACGACGGCACGTACGCACGCACACACGTACGTACGCACGCACACACACGTACGTACGCACGTACGCACGCACACACACGTCCGTTCGCACGCACACACGTACGTACGCACGCACACACACGTACGTACGCACGGCGCACGCACACACACGTACGCACGTACGCACGCACACACATGTACGCACGCACGCACGAACGCACGTACGCACGCCCACATACACACAGAGGTAAATCCGGGGTCCAACGTCGGTATTCGGTAATACCTAAACTCCCCACCACACAGCAATGCTGGTAGACATCAAAAACAGGGGTTCTATTCCCGCCACCGTACGTACCCCTTTCTGGCTGCCGACGTCAACCGACATCATGTGACGTTTTATTCCCGCGACTGAATTACTTTATTTACTTCCCCTCTCGCCGACGTCGTCGTCAACCGTCGTATCACGTGACGTTTTTGCAGATGTAATGGTCAGGGCGTCGCCGGCGTGGAGAGCCGCTGGAAGGCGACCAACGTGCCGTGGTGCAGCGGCCGCTGGATCCAGCAGGAGCTCATCGAGGACTGCTCCTGTCACAAGCAGAACAAGAACATGCCCGGATACATCTTCGTGTGACGTGGCGGCCCGCGCGCACGGAGACTCGTGACGTCACGCGTCAGCTCGCGATGACGTCATAACCTGCTGATGACGTCGTCATCCACTCGCAATGTCATCGCGCAGTATTTTTTTCTCGATGCGGGGTTGTAGGCGACTCAGATGCAAGTGTGGCTTTTCTTCTTCTTCTTCTTCTTAGGAGAACGTAGATGCACGACAATGCAAAAGCGCTCACTCTTTACCACATCTTACAAACAGCACATTCAGCAAGAAAAACAACTATCCTTCCGTATACCCTGTTTATATCTACTCTTGCGTAGTCCCAGACGAATGCGACAACGTTGCAACACATTCAAACTGTGTACACCACTCTTAAACGTATTTTTAAAGAAGCCACGGTATGTAGATGTGTGCAATGCTACGTGCCCAATTGACCCAGGCACTAGAAACTAGTATCAGAAGAAGACAATGTCATGGAAGACTTCTCTTGCTTACTGAATTTACTGTTGACCTTACCTACGTACTCCCCTTCACAATCGCGGTAAACCCATGCAAGATTGTCCCATTCTCAAGCTCTACATATGTGGTAGGTAGCAAGCCGAGGAGAGGCAAGGATATACAAGAAGTAAGATTTGTGAGGTGGATGCAATTATATTATATACATGGATGACTTTTACCTAAAACGTAGGTGCAGTTATTTGAAGGCTCTCCAGGTTGCCAACTTTGTTAGTAACTATTTATTCTAGTTTATGCAGTTGACGAAGCAATTGACGTCCAATCAACGCGTATCGTTTCGAGCTAATGAATCATAGAGATCTATAAACAAACCATTTGTAGTCTTTATAGATCTCTATGTAATGAATCCAGACAATTGCGTGCGCAGCGCCGCCTAGTGGTACTGCGCAATAATGAGAGTAACAACCACAATGGCATCACGGCCATTGTGCCCTTGTTTTTCGTCTGCTAGGGGGATCTGGAAGGGAATTTTCATAATCGACAGGATACGGTCAAACTACACCACCGCAGAACTCTTTTATTTTTTAAATGTGCTCTGATGATTTTCATGGTAGCAACCACAGTTGGAATTTATCCACTGCCTTTCCTAAAACATTTTTCCTCATGCGATTGTCTTTAACTTCGTGGAAGAATGACGAGAATGCATATTTTAAATCAGTAAAAACACTTTAACAGTCGTTAACACTTAAAGACCTGTGTAAGTCTGTGGAAAGCCCACCGCCGAAAAATATGAGATTAATATACTTGACAGGCTGACAGCACTATACTTTTAGTCATCATAGGAAAGGCGGGTTACACTGAAAGAACTGAAAGTCGACACTAGTGCCACCTGTTAGACACTCTAACGATGTCTGGTTTATTGCAGATGTATATACAGAAGCAGCAATAAGAGCCAGAAACGAGCCAGTTTTTGCTTACTCATTAATTTAATATGGTATACAATGTTTTAGTCGTGAATCTAGTGTCACTTGCCTCGACCTAGACCAGTCACCTAACACTGCCATTTATGTTTATGTTCTTACATCCAGCCAAAATAATTTACATAGAACTGGAAATGGTTTAGAGATGAACCTCACGATGTGTAAGTTACTCTTACAAATCGCTCCAACTAGGCTCGAAACCGTAGAATGTAAATGTTCGTATTCAGTTGTATTTTACCCTGTTCCCTCTTATGAATATATATATATTTACATAAAGGCCCGCACGTACGCGTTCATGGCATGGAGGCCTGTATACATCACACGATGTTTTATATACGTTTGAAGTGCACTACGAAGTATATAATCAATATGTTTCTCATTATCAATACGTGACTATGGTATTAGCAACGAGTTATGCAAAATATGCCATTGCATGTTGTGTGCTGAACTGCCGACACAGAGGACTGATGTCAATTCTGGTGACCGGTCGAGATATATAGATATATAAACCCACCTTTCACTCTGCTGGTTTATTTATATTTTATGTTTAATTTTAGCATTTGTGTTCAGTAAGGAGTAGATTGTAGCACATTTATGGTCGTGTGATGAAGTAAGAGTGTATCGACCAGCACATGTGTAATCGTCTGGTTTATCAAGTAAACGAACGGGGAATGATTCGTGCTATTTTATCATAGTGTACATGCATTTTGTAGGGCAGAATTTTCTAGTTATCTTATAGTTCTTTCATCTTTTTCTAGCTGTTCTATTGTTGTTTAAGCTTCTGTGGAAAGGAAAATAATAATAATAATAAGTTTTAGTGGCTTAAAATAATTTTCCTTTTGTGATGTTTGATATCATGCATCATGGTTTCACCAATGCAAAATATAAGTTTAATAATAAGGGCATAGTTTCCCTTGACCATTACAACTTTCTTTGTTTTCAACACAAGAAATTGGCGCACACCCCAGGTGGTACTTATCTATACATAACAAGACAGATAAGTAGATTTATATAAAAATCTTTATTGAGCACAATGTATTATATATACACTGTAAATGACAGAATTTTTCCTGATATTGCATAGAGCATGGTTACCTACTTCATCAGATCGTAAGAATATAAAATATTGCAAAAAATGTATAAAAATGCAAATCCATGAATAAAAAACGTTCAGTGGCTTAGAATTCTTATATATATATATATATATATATATATATAAATACCATTTGAGACATAACATGATCTCGCATTCCAGACGAAAATACATTTTAAAATCTCATTTTTGTGGCAATAAAATAATTTGACATTTTTAGCATACCTGGTATTTCAGCAGATATGAATTTCTCCAACCAGACAGGATATGTCAATAAATGATGTAAAACCATGGGCTTCCCATTAGTGCTAACTAGATGCCAGTGCTGATAACAACCGATAAGGATAAGCTACATATAATTTATGCAATAAAATACGCAGAGCAAGCTACCAAGTGGCATCCGTCTGACGATTTATCGTTTTACACGCTTAGAAATTTGCGGGCGAAATTTTTACGACGAAACTAAAGGCGGTCTCAATGCCAAAGGGCCTAGTCTTCGCAGATCAGCAAAAAATGCCCCTGCACGATCCCTCCAATAACTTCACGTGAATGGCAGATCAGCATCAAAATCAATGTCCCCCTCCTCATTCCTATGCAACGCAGGAGAGTAAAATCGCCACATAAACTCGAAGTTAGTTGGACGGACACTGTTACTCTTCACACAAATGCTCCGCCTCACTCGTGGCTGCCACACTCCCAGCCACCTCACTCGCGGCTGCCACACACGCCCCACCACCGCTCCCGGCCGCCTCACGCTTGATCGAGTAGTTCGTAGATGCCTTTCTCGCAGTCGGCGGTGCGGTTCCACCACGCGTGCACGTCCTCGTATGACGACACTCGCACGCCGTCGTCGCCGTGCAGCTTCGCACACAGACCACAGATGGCGTTGGCGTTGTCGGTGAGTGTTGCGAGCTCGAAGTCGCTCCGCCACGCGAAATACTCGTTGTAGCGCGCGTCGTCACCGTCGATCTCGGCGAGGTGGCGCGCGAGGTCGCGCGGCGACGCAAAGTCGCGCACGTCGATGTAGGAGCGCGGCGGCAGGTGGCGCCGGTAGTCAGCGCCGCCGAGGACAACGGGAACGACGCTGGCGTTCATCGCAAGGAACAACTTCTCGGTGACGTAGTCGCGGCAGACGCTGTTCTCGAAGGCGAGGTAGAACTTGTAGTCGCGCGCGAGCATCGCGTAGCAACGTGCGCTCTCGCTGCGTGGGCACCGCAGCGGCCCGCACGCGCCGTACACGTCCACCGGCAGGTGGCGCCGTAGTTCGTCGACGTAGCGCATGCTCTCGCTGATCGCATTGCAGCGACTCGCAAACCACGCGACCAGCTTCGTCTTCCCCGCGGCGAACCCCCGCACCGGCGCCCCCTCGCGGGGAAACTCGCCGCGGTCAGCCGGCGCCCCCTTGTGACGAAACTCGCCGTACAGCCACGGCACGTCGGAGTCGCGCCGGTACGTCATCGTCCAGTTGAACGCGTCGCGAAGCTCCGTGAAGCGGTGCGCCCAGCTGTACCACGGCGACTCCTTCAGAGCGAACACCCACTTCTGTCGCGGCGATCGCGCGGCGGGGACGTCGCCCCGCCTCACGTCGCGCATGTGGAAGAGAACGGCGTCACTGGAAAGTAGCAGCGCGCGATCGACGACCGTCTCGCAGCGCCGCTCTGCGCAGCGGTCGAATGCTCGCCGGCCGACGCCGACGTCCCAGTCGCGCGCTCTGAACATCGGCGTCCAGAACAGGATGCGCTTGATGTCGCCACCGCCGCCGAAGATCGGTTGGAACGTTGCCCCGGCGACGGGACTCCGCGCGGGCGACGTGAGATGCCGCTCGTCGCTGACGCCGGTTTTGCTACCGGCGGCGCCATCTATTGCATCGATGTTATCATATTGTTTGTTCGTTTTCGGCTCGTTTCCGCTAGCGTCAGAGTTTGCTGACGTTCGATTTTTCTCTTCCGTATCTGTTACCTCTATCGAACTCTCGTCGTATGTGGCATCATTATGTTCACTGACATCAGACTTGTCACTAGTGCTTTGACGTGCTAGCAAATGTTTATCATCGTCAGACGTTTCGTCAATTCCATTTTGAGTTGGACTGTGTTCGTTTATATGACCAGCCATTACGCTGGGAGATTCCGCGACACAGTCACTCAAGCCACGGTGGCACGATTGCACGACGTTATTGCCTGCAATTTCACTGCTGTGGAAATAGCTACCAATGAGGAGGACTGTTGAACAGACGAGAGTGAGGGTGAGCAGGAGGAGACCTACTTTCCTGAAGGTCACGTTTGTTTTTTGGTCGAATTCATTGCTCTGTTGCCTTGCTTTGCTGTTGTGTTTGTCCATGTTATGACGATCTTCACTCTGCAATGATTAACTGAACTTGTACCTCCATTATTTTTCAACATATCAGCTGTGCAATATTTGTAGTGACTTAACACAGAATGTTATAGCAAGTCATATTGCAATGCTTCAATTAAAATATGGTTCTAGGCTAAATCGTGATTACCTGTTTAGGTGGTGGGTGTTTGCTCTTATTGCTTTTCCCAGCTCTTTGTCGACTCTCAGATTTCATGATGCTAGCTGGTGTAAAAATCTTCGCAAAATTTTACTTGTTCAAACCATGTAGCTCAGATTCTGTTGCCCTTCTCCACACACTGAGATGGCTGTAGTCTTTAAACAATACATTAATTAAATTTGCTGTTCTCTTCCATGGCACTGGTTTACGCTTACATTTAGCTATAGTAGTAGTACTGTAGCCCTCGTTGGCTGTGCCCCAGCACCAGGCCTGTGGCACCTGTGGCTGTGGCATAATGATAATCAACGAGGGCTTAAGTAGTAGTAGTACCTTACTTTCTAGGCTGTTACTGTTACTGTTACTGTTAGTATTCTCCTGCTACCGGTAGCAGGTTCATTTTCTGCTAATCTCCCGGCTGTGGATTTATACTAGTAAGTAAATATCCTTACTTTAAAATAAATGGAGTAATATTGAATTATGCCTGTGCCTGTGGCTGGATAGTGGATAATGTATAGTGACATAATGTATAGTGACATAATGTAGTGACATAATGATAATGTAGTGACAGTGTGCAGTGCATGCCACAGGCACTTGGAATGTCTCAATAAAAAAATATAATGGTAAATAAACACGAAATGTATTTACTACCAAAGTCTTATGTTTCTGTCTACCTCGTATTTCGCCTATAATCACCTGTAAATGCGGTCAAATTGCTCATCTGGCCAATCACACAAGTACACCGACGTGCTAGCTGCTGCACACTTCGACACTGTTTCTAATTCTACTTTGCTATACTGGCAAGTTCATAAAGAATAAACGTCCCAGGGGCTATCAGCCTAGCCGAATGGGGTAACCCGACCAGGCTGTGTGACTAACGTCATACACCCGCTGACATCATCCATTGAAAATCTTGTAGCCTGTACAAAAACTACCGCGAACATACGTTATATCTCAAATAAAATGCTCATCTAGAGCATTTCTGCCTTGTTTTGTATCAATATATAGCCTTCACCTTATCGTATTCCAGCATTGTTATTAAACTAATACACTCAGTTTGCTGTGCACAGTGTAAATTTCAAGATGCCAAACCGAAATTTCAACTAAGCGCCAACGCCATTTTGCAATGCGCATGGATTTTCGACGGCACGCGGAAAACCCGATACGACATAACATACCATAGCGTTGCTACTTGCGTTAGCGTGAGCAATAAAGAAGCTCATATACTCGTATATATATAAATTAAAACATTGAAAACCAGGGAATCGTCAATCTACAACAACTTAATAATTATCATTGCGAAGATATATGTACTTGCGTTGTATTTGGCCTACGCACTGTGAAAATCAGGTCCATGCAATTTTAGTTGCACTGAACATGGCAGACATGGCGGCTGTCTAGTTGTTTTGATCGCAATTCATCTCAGAAAAACGGCATAACTCAATAAATAAGTAAGCGCCAGTAGCGCCCAGTTACCGTCGCGAGCAAGCCAGAGGTTTATAAGATTCGTTTGAGCTATTATCATGTGACGCGCTAGCTGCTGTCGATGGTTGGATACACGAGCCAACTACAAGGATTTGTGGGCAAGAATCTGAAACGCGTATTCTAAACCCTAGCAATACCGTTTCTTGGAGCTAGCCATGGGGTTGACCTAGCTTGGGTAAAGCCAGTAGTTAGGCTTATAGGGTCTATGTACTCTCAGGGTACTGCCGGACGTACCCTGGCACACAGTAACGGTCCGGTATACCGAAACTTACCCTGGTAACTATTTGATATGGTTCTAGCGGTTAGGGTTAGGGAGTGTAGCGTAGGCGATCCCTAGGACTCGTTAGTGGAGTAGGCGAGGTAAGGTCTGGCATATTAGATAGTACCAGGGTACGTTCGGTATACCAGACCATACCCAGGGTACGTTCCGGCAGTTAACCTGGGGGACATAACCCTCTCATGCAGTAGTTAGCGCTTTTTAGGCCGAATGGCCTGAGGGTGGCCACAGCAAGAGTTTTTTTTGCACCCTCAGTGGTTCTTTTACGTCCCCATTGGCACTTAGTATTACTGGAGACGGCGACGCCATTTTTACGTGGTCATCGAAGCCAACGCGGAGATTCACAGCCTACAATGTTGAGAGCCAGGTTTACACCTTGAGAAAATTCACTGCCCGCGCCAGGGTTTGACCTCACAGCCTTCAGTGGACAGTATACGTGGCCTAAGCATCTGGCGCACAAAGGCCTAGTTTTTTAATACTAAATAAATACGAAATCTATTTACTACCAAAGTCTTAATGTTTCTCTACTCTCTTTCACCTATTATTGGCCGACAATATTCCTGTAAATGCCGTCAAATGCATCAATGCAACACCACTGTCCACGACTGGCTGCCGCACGCTAGGTGCTGCACAGTGACACATATATATATACTATTATATTTTATGTGTCACTGTGTCTGTGCCACCTAGCGTGCGGCGGCCACCGTGTGACAGTGTGTTGCAGAATGAGCATTTGGACGACATTTACAGGAAATTGTCGGCAAAATACTAGTAATAGGTGAAAGAGAGTAGAGCCTGAGCCGAACAAGTGGCAAGTGTATGTGTAGCTCTAGTACTATAGCCCGCGTACAGTTGCGCAGCGTCAGTCAATGTAAGCGGCTATAGTGCTAGTAGAGACTGAGTAGAGGCTATAGAGCTAGTGCCTGTGCTGTGGTGCATGCCATCAGCCATAGGCCCGTTTGGGACCCTGGCTGCAAAGCCAAAGGTGTTTTCGTATGTGTGGGGTGCTAATCGGGTGCTAAACTGGGCACAAGTAAACTTGGCCCGCTGTGGCAGGCTTGGCGATGTATCTAATTATAGTTAGGAAAATAATTAATGCGTTTAAAGTTATTAAAACAGGAAAGTACCCTACGAAGCTACGTTTCATAAACAATAGTTACCATGAGTCCACGCACGATATTGGCGGCTGCGGTCGTACACGGTTTCTGATGACGTCACCAACTCCGCGTAGTTCACGGCTGGATTTGCACCACAACATTTTACAAATTACAATGAGTAGAATAATGAAAAAATCACTCGCCTTGCGATGCTCAAAGCACAGACAATGTATACGACAACTTGTACGACAACTTGTTACAATACATGCCGGTGCGTGCAGTAAACTGGTGTCAGTGGCATTGCAGCGCAAATCGTTAACGCATAATTGATAATACAATTTAAAATTACAATAAATTGAATAATCATAATGTAACCCTACTCTTGTTGGGTTACATTTAAGTCATTATTGAATATTGTATCTAAATATACGCATACATGATACATTTTATCTGGATCTTGTTCTAGGCTTCGTTGAGTGTGTGTGTGTTGTGTGTGTGTGTGTGTGTGTGTGTGTGTTGTGTGTGTGTGGTGTGTGTGTGTGTGTGTGTGTTGTGTGTGTGTGTGTGTGGTGTGTGTGTGTGTGTGTGTGTGGTGGCTGTGTGTGTGTGGTGTGTGTGTGTGTGTTGTGTGTGTGTGTTGTGTGTGTTGTGTGTGTGTGTGTGTGTGTGTGTGTGTGTGTGTGTGGTTGTGTGTTGGTGTGTGGTGTGTGTGTGTGTGTGTGTGTGTGTGTGTGTGTGTGTGTGTGTGTGTGTGTGTGTGTGTGTGTGTGTGTGTGATGTGTGTGTGTGTGTGTGTGTGTGTGTGTGTGTGGGTGTGTGTGTGTGTGTGTGTGTGATGTGTGTGTGTGTGTGTGTGTGTGTGTGTGTGTGTGTGTGTTGTGTGTTGTGTGTGTGTGTGTGCTGTGTGTGTGTGGTGTGGGTGTGTGTGTGTGTGTGTGGTGTGTGGTGTGTGTGTGTGTGTGTGTGTGTGTGTGTGTGTGTGTGTGTGTGTGTGCTGTGTGTGTGTGTGTGTGTGTGTGTGTGTGTGTGTTGTGTGTGGGTGTGTGTGTGTGTGGTGTGTGTGTGGTGGTGTGTGTGTGTGTTGTGTGTGTGTGTGTGTGTGTGTGTGTGGGTGTGTTGTGTGTGTGTGTGTGTGTGTGGTGTGGGTGTGTGTGTGGTTGTGTGTGTGTGATGTGTGTGTGTGTGTGTGTGTGTGTGTGTGTGTGGTGTGTGTGTGTGTGTGTGTGTGTGTGTGTGTGTGTGGTGTGTGTGGTGTGTGTGTGTGTGTGTGGTGTGTGTGTGTGTGTGTGTGTGTGTGTGTGTGTGTGTGTGTTGTGTGTGTGTGTGTGTGTGTGTGTGTGTGTGTTGTGTGTGTGTGTGTGCTGTGTGTGTGTGATGTGTGTGTGTGTGTTGTGTGTGTGTGTGTGTGTGTGTGTGTGTGTGTGTGTGTGTGTGTGATGTGTGTGTGTTGTCGTGGTGGTGTGTGTGTGGGTGTGTGTGTGTGTGTCAGGCTCGAATTAAGCGACGAGAAGGGCAAGGCAATTTTTTAGGGCATGTGAGAAATCGCCTTGAATTTTCTCTAAAATAGAAAGGCACCAAGGCAACTCTCAAGTTTGAGAAGGGCACCAGGCACTTTTGTAAAATAAAGGGGAAACTCATAACAAATTAGTACATCAACATCGTCTTGCTTTTAATGTACAAAACAATATGCCGCCATGTAAGCTTACACCGTAACACTGACCCCTGTACCCACCTCTGGCTAATGGAAGTACAGTAACAGAAAATTTTACATGGCCCGCTATCAGGAGCAAATAATTATCCGATGCTGTTATTATTCCTCCCTGCGACTATCGTTTTTAGCTCATCATTGCAACTAGCAGACGCACGCCGCACTGTTTATGTTGATTCGACTAAAAACAAAACTAGGGCAGTAGATTAAAGGGCACCGACGGCAATTACACAAAAGGGCAAGGCAGGTGACTGCCGTCGGTCGGGTTGGATTTTCAGGGGCAGTACGGCGATTGATAGGGGCACCGACGGCAATTGCCGTCGTGCGTCGGTTAATTCGAGCCCTGTGTGTGTGTGTGTGTGTGTGTGCGTGCGTGCGTGCGTGCGTGCGTGGTGCGTGCGTGCGTGCGTGCGTGCGTGCGTGCGTGCGTGCGTGCTGCGTGCGTGCGTGCGTGCGTGCGTGCGTGCGTTGCGTGCGTGCGTGGTGCGTGCGTGCGTGTGCGTGCGTGCGTGCCGTGCGTGCGTGCGTGCGTGCGTGCGTCGGTGCCGTGCGTGTGTGACTGGGTGTGTGTGTGTGTGTGTGTGTGCGGTGTGTGTGTGTGGTGCTGTCAGCGCGCGTGCGTACGTGCATGCGAGCCTGCTTGCATGCGCGCGCGTGTGTGTAGATGGTCTGAACCACTTTACTATAAATTACGAATGAAACCGATAGATATCACGACCCTTGTATTGTAATTGTATAGGTTCGCGGGAGAAGCAATACGACGTGGTCGTCGTAGGAGGCGGCCATGCAGGGACGGAGGCCGCAGCAGCCGCGGCACGCATGGGTGCCGACACCCTCCTGCTCACACATAAAATAGATAGCATAGGTATAACCTCACAATTGGTGAAACGGTATCCGTCTATATATCGCATCGACCACTATTCACTCAATAATATTTGATACGGTGCACAATTAAGTAACCGCGTAACCTTGTAAGAGTTGCAATCTTTAAAGTCCAGGGGGGGGGTATACCAAAGGTATGGTTAGAGTCAAAGTTGATCACAATCGATAGATCAACTTTGCAAGTTACAGTAGAACAATTTTTACTATTACAATTAACCAGATAAGAATTAAGGAGGAGAATTCCAATATGAATTAATAGAAGAATGAATAAGAATGAATAATTCTTATTTATTTAATATGTGTAGTAGAGAGAAATGCATTTTGAAATATATATACACATATTTCACGTGTTTATTATATTTATGTATAGATCTTTGGAACTATGGAAGTGAGTAAATGTAGCACCTATAAAGAGCCATATGCCACTGCATGCATGGTCCCTATCCTTATTAAAGTGCATTCTTTTTTTTATAGGGGAGATGTCCTGCAACCCGTCATTTGGGGGAATTGGTAAGGGACATCTCATGAGAGAGGTGGATGCACTTGATGGCTTGTGTGGGAGAATCTGTGATAAGTCTGGCATTCAGTACAAGATGCTGAACAGGCGAAAGGGACCGGCTGTCTGGGTACGTTCAGCGCCTGTCACTGTCAGGAATAGTATGTAGCTATTAAAAAACATTCATCCCTGTTTTAATAGTCATTGCAACTTAAATCATCAACTAGCAGAAAAGTATATGTACAATTAGCAAAGAAACACACTATCCTAATATATATTATATATATGTGTACATATAGCATATACATATACATTATTGCTGTATGCAAATGACTTAAACGTTTTGAGATGGTACACAAACAGGGTAGAGAATGGGCATGGATGGGAAGTTTATCATAAGCAGTATAGTACAGGTATTCTGTTTCTGTTACAAATGAAAACTGGTAGAGTACAGACGATGATTGGTTTGCTCTAGAAGGTATATAAAATTATAAACGGATATTCCATTACAGTGAATACGTTATTGTATTACCCTCACTGGGTTTTTAGGGCCCAAGAGCTCAGGTAGATCGAAAGCTGTACAAGAAGCACGTGCAAGCGGAGTTACTCAACATGCCAAACCTTACCATGAGAGCCGCGGCAGTAGAAGACCTGCTACTAGATGGCGCTACGGTACAGACTAGAACAGACATGTGTAAGGAGCGGTGCCACGGAGTCGTTCTGGGTGAGGCCGTGGTGATAATTAAGAATACACTTAAAGTTTATGGGAAGTAGTTTATCGATTTTTTGTTAAAAATTTTATTTGACAGCTGTAAGCATATGCCACCTCTGTAAATACCATAGTTCATAGTTATAAAACTTATATTCCCATATATAAGCTTACAGGGTTAGAGGGCATTTGGATTACGGCATATGTGTGCAAGGAGCTACGGCCCTTTAAATACATACTTACTGACGTCAGACTCAACTATTAGGCATTGTGTTACAGGCGATGGAACTACCGTCCGGGCGAAGACGGTCGTTCTGACAGCGGGCACGTTTCTACGTGGAGAGATCTTTATCGGGTTGAACACGACGCCAGCTGGCCGCATCGGCGACCAACCCTCCGTCGGTCTAGCTCGAACAATAGAGACGGCTGGTTTTACGATGGGCAGGTTGAAAACTGGTATGTTTAGGTACAACACCGGGAACACAGCGGTTAAATATTATGTACGTAGCAAACTAAAAGGGCCTAACTGTTATGTATATAGCAAACTACAAGGGGCTAACTGTTATGCATATATCAAACTACAAGGGCCTAACTGTTATGCATATATCAAACTAAAAGAGGCTAACTGTTATGCATTTAGCAAACTAAAAGTGTCAATGCATTCCAGAATAGTGTGGATTAGTATGCTCAGTGGCTATCCACGCTTGCACACACAGGAACTCCGCCTAGATTGATAAAGGAGACGATCGATTTTTCAAAGACGGCGGTGATGGAAGGCGACAACCCTCCCGTGCCTTTCTCGTTCCTGAGCGACAAAGTCTGGATAAAGGTACAGCCTCTTCTGAGTAGACGAACTCATTGAAGCCACAATATACTGTCATGAACTGAAACATGTATATATGCTCTACTGTCAAGTAATTCATCATTACCAGAATTCACTTGGCTATCTCCTGAAGAGTTTTCATGTGCCTTGTAAAATGCTATCGTTAACGATGTTACGTTTTCATGTCTGTATTGTGTATTGTTGTAATTAAGGCTGAAGATCAAGTTCCGTGTCATATGACCTTCACAAACGAAGAGGTACACAAAGTGATCAGGGATACATTGCATCTTAATAAACACGTAGAGGAAGAGAGTTCTGGTCCTATGTATGTATTCAATCTAACACTTGTGGCTCTACTTACAACAGTCAACCAGTCTGCTAAGCAAGCTAAAAATAGAAATGTAAAAATGCAATATAAATAACTAGAAATTAAATAAATATATTTAGTCATGAGTATTATCGTCGCTGGAGCTTTTTTCGCATTCTGCATTTCCTTGGGGAGCGTGTAGAAATATCGCCCAGCTAGTTACCCTGGATTTTTGGGTTGTATGAGCGAAGTGTATTATAATGTTACCCATCCAGGTATTGCCCTTGATTTTTGGGTTGTGTGAGTGAAATGTATTATATCGTTACCTCACCTGTCCAGGTATTGCCCCTCGATAGAGTCCAAGGTGTTACGCTTCAAGAGCAAAACAGAGCACCAGGTTTGGTTGGAGCCGGAGGGACTGGATTCCCCTCTCGTCTACCCGCAGGGCATCTCGATGACAATGCCTGAGGAGCACCAGCTGCGAGCGATGAGGGAGATGCGAGGACTGGAGCGTGTGGAGATGGCCCAGCCAGGTATAGTCCGTCTTTTCTGCGGTGTGGGAGGTTGGCCCAGCCAGGTATAGTCCGTGTTTTCTGCAGTGTGGGAGATTGGCCCAGCCAGGTATAGTCTGTGTTTTCTGCAGTGTGGGAGGTTGGCCCAGCCAGGTATGGTCCGTGTTTTCTGCAGTGTGGCAGATTGGCCCAGCCAGGTATAGTCCGTGTTTTCTGCAGTGTGGGAGATTGGCCCAGCCAGGTATAGTCTGTGTTTTCTGCAGTGTGGGAGGTTGGCCCAGCCAGGTATGGTCCGTGTTTTCTGCAGTGTGGCAGATTGGCCCAGCCAGGTATTGTCCGTGTTTTTTGCGGTGTGGGAGATTGGCCCAGCCAGGTATGGTCCGTGTTTTCTGCAGTGTGGGAGATTGGCCCAGCCAGGTATGGTCCGTGTTTTCTGCAGTGTGAAAGATTTTCCCAGCTAGGGATGGTCCGTATTTTCTGCAGTGTGGTAGATTGGCCCAGCCAGGTATTGTCCGTGTTTTCTGCAGTGTGGGAGATTGGCCCAGCCAGGTATGGTCCGTGTTTTCTGCAGTGTGGGAGATTGGCCCAGCTAGGTATGGTCCGTGTTTTCTGCAGTGTGGGAGGTTGGCCCAGCTAGGTATGGTCCGTGTTTGCTGCAGTGTGCGAGATGAAGCTGTGTGTGCAGAGAATGGTGGTGGCAAGCGAACATGCATGTATGTTATGTCTATTGGCAATGCATTCGCAGTAATTAATCCTGTCCTTTCAAGTGAAATCTTGAGCCAATTGTAAATCAATAATCATCTGCATCATAATCCATATTTCAAAATCTACGCTAGAGGTTGAATCTATAACTGACACGTATGCTGAGTTTTAAGGATAAAGTCAGGGTTACGGACAGGTACCTCTGTAAAGGGAATTACAACATAACTGCTCACCAAATATATACCACACATATAGCTGCCCAGAGGCGCCATCTATCAAATAAAATGGGTATTAAAATTTTGACTAAATTTCGTCTGCAACCCTGAATGTATCCTTAATTACCTCCACCCAATGGAGTTGGAGGGCGGAGGTTATGTGATCAGTCTCGTGCGTTCGTGTGTTAGTGTGTTCGTGTAGCCAGCAGCAGGCCAGTCAGTGTTAGTGTGTTAGTGTGTTGGCGCGATCGATATTAGCGCGTCCAGTCAAGCGTGTACATGTGAGCGAGCAGCAGCAACGAGCGGCTGCTACGAGCGAGCGAACAGCAAGCCAATACAATAATAAGACATACATGTTACATGTTGGCGGAGGTATGCACTCTCCGTGAGTGCCCTCTGTCTAGTTATAGTTGTGTTTGAAACATGCTTAAAGTGTCTACAACCAGGCATTTAGCATTGGTCCTGATGGTCAGCTTTGAATAATTTGCAGGTTACGGCGTTCAGTACGACTATATAGAACCGCAGCAACTGCGTCCGTCGCTGGAAACCTTGCGCATCGAGAACCTCTTCTTTGCCGGCCAGATAAACGGCACCACCGGCTACGAGGAGGCTGCAGCTCAGGTAACCGTGGCAACGACGTCGTCGTCTCCTGCTAAGTGTCATGGCAACCTATGAAATATTTCCCCCTCGCAGTGAGTGATTCACTCGATTGAGTGGTTTTCCACCCGTTGGCTTGCACAGCAGTCATTGATTGAAACGCTGCTATTTGATCTATGTTTATTTACAGAATGCGTGCGAATTGCTAGTAGAGTTACGAATACTTTCATCGCCTCACTGAATGTCTTTATTCTGTCGCAGGGTCTCATAGCTGGAATCAATGCAGTGAAGAAGAGCCAGCAGCAGCCACCACTGCTGGTAGACAGGACCGAGGGTTATATCGGTGTGCTCATAGACGACCTGACGACGCTGGGCACGAGTGAGCCGTATCGCATGTTCACCAGCAGAGCAGAGTTCAGACTTGTCTTACGTCCGGACAACGCCGATCTCAGACTGACCGGCAAAGGTGTGTGCACGCGTGAGTGCTTGCGGTAAACGTGTGTGCATGCGTGCGTGCTTGCGTGTGGGCGTGCGTGTGTGCGTGTGTGCGTGTGTGTGTGCATGTGCGTGCGGTGTGGTTGCATTCACTAGCCAGGAGAGATGAATCGTAACTGAGCAAGAATGTAAATAGTCCTAGTGAATAGCTACTTTTGATGTTTGACCTTGCACTTGCCTTTCACCGTACAGAATAGATAACTTGCCCTGTGAGTGGGTGGCTAAGGGGTTGCATTCAGTGTTTACTAACTCATAGTAGGCTTTTGTAATTGAAGCTCATCTGTGTGTGTAACCATACATGGTAGGTTACAAGGCAGGCTGTGTGAGCGAGGCCAGGCACAGCAAGATGAAGAGAATTCAAGAAAAACTGGAGGAGGCCACCGCTTGCTTAAAGTCAATAAACAAGCCGCTGTCTCACTGGTGGAGCGGTCTACGGCTGCAAAGGTCGCAGACAAATCACAACCCAAAATCGTACGTATTTTGATACTATAGTGACTACAATAGAATACGTGGCTTGAGCAGCAGCATTAGATAGCATTGCTTGGGTTAGATTTTTGTGCTATTTTAAGTTAAATGTATACTGGAACTTTTTATTTAATTAAATACATCGTAATTATAAAGTGATATTTATATGAAGTCGTTCTGTCACATAAACGCTATCTGTTTAGTCTATGAATAAGGATGTACAAATCCCCACTCTAGTTTGAATTTATAACATTTTTTACAGAGCCTATGATATGCTAGGGTTGGCAGTCGTAACAATGGAAATGATGGCACAGGCTTTTCCTGATGAATTCAGCCGTCTTCCTTTAGATCATCACGTGAGTGAGCGGATCAAGATACAGGGTAGGCACTAGAATCGTGAACTTAAATGTGATGTATATTTATGTAGTGTATACATTATACGTGCATGCTAGAATTGACAGTAGGGGCTAGGGATAAGGAAAGTGTTGTCTATGGTGTCGCAATTTTTATCCTATATGACAAGTGTTTGGTATGGTTGCTTTCATCACTGAGTTGAAGTTAGTTTGATCTCTCCTGATCGCGATATTATCCGCTGATAAGTCGCTGATACATACATATCTTACATTGGCTCTTATAATATGGTTTTGCTTTCCAGCCACGTATGCCGAGAAAGAGGCTGAAATGATGCGGGACATCGTTGAAGCGAGAAAGGATGAACATCTCCTGCTCCCTGACGACATGGACTACTCTGCTCCCTCTCTGTCTTTGTCGAATGAAGCCAAGAAGAAGCTGGAGGCGGTACGGCCCCACACGGTAAGACCCACATCTCTACCTGAAGTGCCTCGTCTGCTCAAACGATGCCAAGAACACACGAACTTCACAAGAAGTCTACTACTATATACTATAACTATGCTATGATTATGTGCTATGTACTGTATGTATGTGTGTAGAATACGTGAGAACAGTCGAACCCACCAAGATAATCTATTCATGATTGACAAATATTTTACAAAGTTACAAAGTTCTGCATGCATCACACGTGCATTTCATTGTAACTAGAGGTGCGATTTACGTTAAACGTGTTGACGATCTGTTTGTACAGATTGGAGCAGCGAGCAGAATACAAGGAGTTACACCCGTCGCTGTTGTACGTCTGCTGCAGTTCGTTAAAAGGTCACAGAAGGAAACGACCGTGTCAACGTCGTCGTTGTCATCGTGAGGACTGGTCTCTAATCACACTGCACTCTAAAGCACATTAAACTTATTAATAGTTTGACCAAATGCTTCACAAAAAACTTAAAAGTATTCCCACCCAAATGAAAATAAGTCATGATCATGACCAGAATAAATATGTAAATTAATTGATTGGTGATCCTGAACTGATATACACACTTGTAAACAGCATACTAGTCTATGAATAATACCTACTCGGAAAAAGTCTATGCCGTTAACAACATATAGCAGCTAATATAAAATATAAAATCTTTGATTTTATAGAATATATCTGAACATAATTTTCATGTTAAATGTAATAAAATGCAATGTATGTCCCAACATAACTATTCATATTTTTATTGTTTAAATTGTTTAATATTTTTTACATCGAAACAATTTTCTTATGATATGCATTTATCAGGATGCATGTAGAAAGTTATTTATTACATAATAAATCCTGTAAAGTTTATACGAATTTCAAATATGCATTTATTGTTTAATTTAGTTGAACTGTACTGTCAATGAGCATTTCTAAAGAAGGTGTTCAACTGAGAATTTATTGATTATTACACTCTCGGCATTAATAAATAGGGAATACTATAGTTGATATAAAAACAGTAGGCCTACAGTTATACACCTATATATATATATACCTATACAACAGTTATACACCTATACAACAGTTATACACCTATACAACAGTTATACACCTATACAACAGTTATAGGCCTACAGTTTCCACAAAAGTGTGAATTAGTTTTTCAAGGACGCACGCTTCGTTAGTGGAGTAGGCGAGGTAAGGTCTGGCATATTAGATAGTACCAGGGTACGTTCCGGTATACCAGACCGTACCCAGGGTACGTTCCGGCAGTACCCTGGGGGACATAAACCCTCTCAGCGGTAGTTAGCCTTTTAGCCGAATGGCACTGAGGGTGGCCACAGCCAGAGTTTTTTTTGCACCCTCAGTGGTTCTTTTACGTCCCCATTGGCCTTAGTATTACTGGAGACGGGACCGCCATTTTACGTGGTCATCCGAGCCACGGGAGATTCACAGTCTCCAATGTTGAGAGCAAGGTTTTTACACCTTGAGAAAATTCACTGCCCCGGCCAGGGTTTGACCTCGCAGCCTTCAGTGGACAATATACGTGGCCTAACCACTGGCACTGGGCCACAAAGGCCTAGTTTTTTAATACTAAATAAATACGAAATCTATTTACTACCAAAGTCTTAATGTTTCTCTACTCTCTTTCACCTATTATTGCCGACAATTTCCTGTAAATGCCGTCCAAATGCTCATCTGCAACACACTGTCACACGCTGGCTGCCGCACGCTAGGTGCTGCACAGTGACACATATATATATATACTATATATTTATGTGTCACTGTGTCTGTGCAGCACCTAGCGTGCGGCGGCCACCGTGTGACAGTGTGTTGCAGATGAGCATTTGGACGACATTTACAGGAAATTGTCGGCAATAATACTAATAGGTGAAAGAGAGTAGAGCCTGAGCCGAAACAAGTGGCAAGTGTATGTGTAGCTCTAGTACTATAGCCCGCGTACAGTTGCCAGCGGCAGTCAATGTAAGCGGGCTATAGTGCTAGTAGAGACTGAGTAGAGGCTATAGAGCTAGTGCCTGTGCTGTGGTGCATGCCATCAGCCATGGACCGTTTGGGCCCCTGGCTGCAAAGCCAAAGGTGTTTTCGCATGTGTGTTAAACTAATCCGGGGTGCTAAACTGGGCACAAGTAAACTTGGCCCGCTGGGCAGGCTTGGGATGTATCTAATTATAGTTAGGAAATAATTAATGCGTTTAAAGTTATTAAAACAGGAAAGTACCCTACGAAGCTACGTTTCGTAAACAATAGTTACCATGAGTCCACACGCGCGTCGGCGCTGCGGTCGCACACGGTTTCGATGACGTCACCAATTCCGCGTAGTTCACGCTGGATTTGCACCAACAACATTTTACAATTACAATGAGTAGAATAATGAAAAAATCACTCGTTGCGATGCTCAAAGCACAGACAATGTATACGACACTTCTACCAACTTGTACAATACATGCCGGTGGTGAGTAAACTGGTGTCAGTGGCATTGCAGCGCCAAATCGTTAACGCATAATTGATAATACAAATTTAAAATTACAATAAATTGAATAATCATAATGTAACCCTACTCTTGTTGGGTTACATTTAAGTCATTATTGAATATTGTATCTAAATATACGCATACATGATACATTTTATCTGGATCTTGTTCTAGGCTTCGTTGAGTGTGTGTGTGTGTGTGTGTGTGTGTGTGTGTGTGTGTGTGTGTGTGTGTGTGTGTGTGTGTGT